TTAAAGGGAATGACAGCCAAAGGAACCTTGTTAAATATTTTACATGTTTCTTTACACTTTCACTGCTCAGTCAGGAGGGGGGCCTGGATACCCCTGCAGATTCAGGGGGGGTAGCACTTGACAGGGGCCCTTGAATCTGTAAAATGATATGGAAAATTGGATGGGGTGGGGTGGGGTTGGTGGTGGGGCCCAAGGTGACATTTTGTCAGTGGGCCCAGAATTCTGGTGGAGAAATATTTTACATTTCTGGAGGCACTGTGTGTCCAGCATGGAGCCTTTAGTCCCCCCCTGATCCATCCAGAAGCCCCAGTCAAGCATATCTGTTCACTGAGGTCAGAGGGTTGGAATGTGTTCAGGATGCCGCAGGTCTGAGTCTTCAGGCCTAAACTCCCTCTGGGAAACCAGGATAGCGATTTTTCATGGTTTAGACCCACTGACTGTTACTTACCAAGAAGGGAACCTGCTTATGGGATTTTAATTACAAACACAAGTTTACTCCAAAACGAATTAAAGTCGGCTCTCCATATTGGCGGGTCTTATATCTGTGGATTCAACCAACCGAAAATATTTCTAAAAATATATGTCCAGAAAGTTCGAAAAAGTTAAATTTGAATATACTGAGCCAAGCACTAAATTGAACCCGTGTGGATGAAGTGATGTGTGGGCAAACCCTGGTGTAGTGATGAATGAAGTGTAGAATGAAGTGATGTGTAGGGATACCCTGGAGTAGTGATGAATATAGTATAGAATGAAGTGATGTGTAGGGATACCCTGGTGTAGTGATGAATTACATGTAGAATGAAGTGATGTGTAGGCATACCCTGCTGTCGTGATGAGTCAAGTGTAGAATGAAGTGATGTGTAGGCATACCCTGGTGTAGTGATGAATGAAGTGTAGAATGAAGTGATGTGTAGGCATNAAGTGTAGAATGAAGTGATGTGTAGGCATACCCTGGTGTAGTGATGAATGAAGTGTAGAATGAAGTGATGTGTAGGCATTCAAATATTGCACCATTTTATATGTGCGACTTCAGCATCTGTGGATTTTGGTATCTGCAGGGGATCCTGGAACCAGTGTGACTGAGGTGATCCATGCAGCCTATTTCGCAAGAAAATTATCTGTTTGCCTTTAACGACTGCAGCTTGTTCTCAGAGATCAAAGTCCGTGACATCAGAGGTCGAATCACACTGTACACTCTGCCTGTGAAACAATTACTTACTGATAAGACACACACTGTCCTAATTGATAAGGCATAAGAATTGGGGGTTTCAGTCCCATCTGAGCTGTGTCCTTGTCACTGTAATTATTCAGGTTTCTGCTTGTCTACTCTTTTTGGCAGCTGTATGTGCCTAGGTGGGTTAGGACACAGTGTACTGCTGAAGAGCCCAACCTCAGTGTTCATACTGTCAGTAGTACAGACTCAGTGACACCTCAGTGTTCATACTGTCAGTAGTACAGACTCAGTGACACCTCAGTGTTCATACTGTCAGTAGTACAGACTCAGTGACTCCTCAGTGTTCATACTGTCAGTAGTACAGATCAGCTACAGTTCTGGCTTTGTGATTTTAAGGTACCGTATATTTTCAGGTCACTTAAGTGTAGTGTTTCTGTGGTGTATCTGTGCATGCTCCTTACCTTAAGTGTAGTAGCAGTGTATCACACAAGAATGTATGTTTGAGACGCCAAATGTCTAATCTCCTTTAGACAAGTCAGATGTGATACTGTTACGTGATTTTGCTTTCGAAAAAGGCATTGAAGTCATTACAGTGTTACAGGGAGTTTATAAAGTTAGGATTTCCCCTTTTTTGCTTCAAAGCTGTGTGAAACTATCTCCCTTAGTGGGGCAGGTCAGCTTTGATCCCGACTAAAAAGGCTCACGCAGGAGTCACAAGACAGAGCCACTGTGCTCAGGCACTGGGATGCCGTTATTCTGGTCCCTTTGCGCGATGTGAATTCAGTTCACACCAACTTAATGAAAAATAAAAGTGACTATTGAAAATGGTTATGACATGAGGCAGATTATGAAGAGCTATTCAGAAGTGGACAGCAGAACTGATTCAGGGCAGAACATCAGAAAAGGTCTCCACTGGTACATATGCAAAGCCCTTCAACCCCACTTTGTTGATGGTGTAACTGCGATAAATCCAAATTGTTCTCGCTTGAAAAAAGGTGTTAATAACGTTATTGCGTAATGTTTCCTGCAGTCTTATGAGTCACGAGGTAAAAAAAAAAACCTTTGAAAGGCTTTACTTTCCCTATCAGAGTAAATGATCTTTGACCTCATCTACCACAGTGGGGATACCATTAGCCCAGGGCTGTCGAGCATGATGTAAGTGGCTGTTTGAGGTGCTAAGCGGGCGTCCGACAGCTGCCTCACTGAATCGCTCATCTCGGAGCCAGTGCGGGCGAAACGGCGCTTAATGAAAGGGCATCTCCATCATTTCAGCAACAGTATGCGCCCACAGAAAAGAGCTCGAACAGATTTTAAGAGAATTGACGTTGTTAAGTGAACTAAGCAGAGTATTCCTCAGGTGTTAGCTTATGTGAGCTAACGCTAGCGTAACAATGCTGCTTCACGTGGAAAGAGCGAACGTACAGCATGTACACTGAACACAAACAAACATCGTTTGCATTGTACGACTGCTTGGCTTTCTTCACGAATCGGCATTGTTGGCTGACAATAGCAGCAAAATCATCCTGTTTACATTGAATTGTCTGTCCCGATGGGGGGGCTGCACTGGAACATGACATAGGATGACATGGCCCAGTCTGGAAGCCCCGGGGATCAAAGGAGTTCGGGGGTGTTACCGACGGCACACAATGGCAGGATCTCATGCCGCTGGCATGGACTGTGACACACCTGCTTCCATCGGAATGAAAGAGGTGAGTGCAGCTCTGCTGGGGGGGACATGGAGGACGTACGGTGATGCATGAACCCAAACAGAATTGGGGGGGGGGGGTGGGCTACAAAGGTCAAAGGTCAATGGGATGTGCGATACTGAAGTGAAGTTTAACAAAGAAAGTTAAATACTGGGTCACGTAACTTAAAGTTTAACTAAGAGCAGAAAACTTTTTAATTCTTGTCTCAGTCAGCTACACCTGGTATATAAATACTGCAAGGAATCTGACTCAGCCAGATGTGATGAGAATCCAGTGAATTATGTCAATTTACAACCAGCTTCTGCAGTTTGGGTCTCGCTCTTATCTGCAGAAGTCATCTGAGAGGATGCTGGGCCCTCCCATTGTTTGCAGGTAGCTGAAACGTTTCGCATTTCCAAACTGTTCACATTTATCACGTGGAGATTTTCCCTGCTACGGGTAAGTGTTTAAAGGTCACATCGGCAGCTCGGCCAGTCTTTCAGTGGTGGGATCACCGTGTTTGTTGTCTCAGAGTAAATCACTTTAAAAAATAAAAAAAGGTGCTGTGTGTACTGTCCTCGGAGCAGTCCTACAGACCTTCTGCTAGGTGTCAAAGCCACAGTCCTCGGTCACTCTTGGCCCAGCGCAGCGTGACACAGTGACAGTGACACGCCACAAGCAGCCAAACGCACCTCCTGAAACGGTCACATTAAGTTACTTTTATGCTTCACACATCCCTCCCATGGCTTTTTGGGTTTTGCTACTTTGAGAGTTTCTACATCAATACGTGTTTTTTTTTTGTAGATTCATGATTCATGTCAATGACTGTAGCTGATGTGGGGAAACAGGACGGGGAGGTTCTGCTGCAAGGATCTGTGACGACAGCACGTGTGATGCTGCGACTGGGGCAGGAGCATCTGCAAAGGATGTGTGCAAAAAGCAGCCGACACTGGTCTGCGTGAAGTGAAAGGAATGACTGACTGCCACAGAACGTCACGAGGTGCAAACGGCACCAGTTATGCGAACAGTGACGACACGAGTCAGGTGGCTATTACGACAGAAACAAGGGAGGGGGTAGAACTGGCACTGGGGGGGCTGTTCATCACCACACTAGAGATGAGTTAGCATGGTCGAATATTCAAAATCATTTATAAAATTGAAAAATTAAACTAGAAATTTTCAATATTACTTCACCACAATATAATCTGTTGTGATTTATCCATTCTTTAATAAGTCTGCATATTATTCATTTTGAAGTTTATCTCTGCTGTTGTTGTGAGCTCTGCATGGGCCTTCGGAGCTAATCACGATCATTTTTATCCCTGCTCACTCGTAGTGTGGCACATTTTGTGAGAAATATTACAAAAAATGAGTGAGGCATACAAGGACGGATCGGCAGAAGACATTCACCTTTCATTTATGGAAATATTTTGGATTATTGACCAAAAGCAAAGCACTGGGCCGGAACTGCTTTGTCCCTATTGGATAGTTTGATTATGCTGTTGCTGTTAATTTCATATACATTTAGGATGTTATGGCCATTTCTTAATGTTCTTGAAATGTGTTCTTAATATAATTTTAAATATGAGCAAATTGTCAGTGTATCAGTAGAGACTTGTCTGTAAATGTACCAGAACGTGAACTACTGACTTGGATTTCCCAGTGTTTTGCTTATAACTCTTGTGCAATATTAATTTCAATGATATCAAATCCATCTAACCATTTCCTGTGTTAAATTTTTCCAATATCATTCAGCCCTAGTTTCAAGGCTACTTTTAATGTTGTAAGTTACCCTTTCGGAACGAGTGATGTCACAATCTGTATGGAAATAAAGTAATGAAACAGTCTATCAGCCAGAGAAGAATCGTTAGGAAATGGGATTTTTGGTATAACTGTCCAAGGCAGAGGCATTTAAACTGTATTGTATGCTACCGCACTTGAGTCATCTCTTTAGTTTAATTTGAGTTTCAATGGTACTTTTTAATGTTATATGTAATATCATTTTGTATGGAAAGAAATATCTTGATCAATACTTCATACACGTGTGTGTGGTGGGGTTAACTGAATATTATTGGAATAACGCCCAGTCGACTAGTAATTCCGCTCGAAATTTCCATCCCTACACCATACAGACATCAACGGCACATCAACAGCCATGTTTAATGCTCAAAGACCGCTTTACACAAACGTCTAGAAACGATCAGCCGGTGAGGTACATTTAAAATTCAAAATGACACAAATTAAATTTTACAAGTACAGAGCTGCTATCGGGGCGTCACAGACAAAGCATAAAACTACGTATCTCTACGGGAGAACATCTTACAGCACACGCACCCGGAACAGCCCCTCCTACAATGCATACATTTCATTTGTGTGAAAATCTGAAACGCATCCGTGAATCACTCTCAAAATAAAACGTCCTTTCGTAAATGAGGGAGAATCTCAGGGAAATTATGCGACGGCCAGTGAAGATGGCCGAACACACGGGAACACTAAAGCGGACTAAAACACCTAAGCACAAACACCCCCCGCCGACGACACAAGAGGGGAGCTTTTCTGACCCTTAGTTACTTGGACGGGAAATGTTGGAGGCGCGTTCAGTGGTTGCGCCCCTTAGCACCTCAGAAGGAGCTGCGTTCACATGACGCACTGCAGCCCGCTCATGCGACGTAGTAATAAAATACACGACCCTTAACTGGGGATTTCATGAACTCACATCCAGTTCCTCTCGGGGTAATTACAGGACTGTCCACCCAAAAGTGACATTTGTCCTCCAGCCGGCAATGGTGAAAGTCTGACTTCTCTTCCATCCACTTCTTTGCCGTCACTCGGTGACGGACTTTATTTGTGGCGCGTAAATCATACGCAAGGTGTCCCATCTTCAAATGAGGGTTAATTGAACTTGCCACTTCACTACTTTGTGAAAAACATAGCTGACCATCCACAGCTATCTGAAGTAGCTCGTGTTAAAGGCAAGGTGAACGAGACAAGATCTACTGAGGGTTAGTGAACAGGTTCCAAGGCATGAAGACGAATAAGCACAGTGCTTAGGAGATCATTTCTCATATTTAACATCACAGGTGAGACTTTTATTGTAAAGTCCAGTCCTGACAGCCGGCCCAGCTCTGTGATATAGGAGCTAGATTTTAAAAGTGTCTATGTATACAGACAAGAATAACTTAAATACATAAATTACACATCATAAAATAAATTTCCCATTGGGGGGCGATGACTTGAAGGAGGTCCGGGAACAAAAACCACTTTATGCTGAAACCTGCAGATTACAAGATGTGTAATGTTGGTGTGTTGAGAAGCTTTGGCAGAGATATGGCGATATTCCACAACAGTGGAAAGGAACGCGGAGACCGGCTCTCATCACGGCTGGGTGGAACCTGACCGATTGCGGATTTCCATCCTGCCGGGAGGGAGGACGAGAGCTCCACCCATAAGAGGTCTGTCTATCGGGGGCCTGGAGGTCTGAGACCTAGGGAGGCGATGACCTGATGTGGATCTCAAGACCATTACCATCCTCCTCACAGCGATGACTCGACCTCCCTAGAGAAGACAGCTTCTGCCTCTTGCCTGGCCACCACCTGAATGGAGGAGACAGAGGGGGGTTGGTCCTGGTTGCAGCTCTCCTGAGCCTCGCTGATGACCTCCAGGACCGGGGGCTTGTTCTCAGGTCTCTTCTCGACGCCGACCTTGTCCGCCGCCCCGCAGCACAGCTTGGGCGCACACTGTGTGAGGCAGGAAAGCTCGCAAAGGGAGGTACGGGACTCGGAGTTGACGGTGACGAACTCAGGCTGTATGGTTGTGGCGTGGATGCCCTCATTATGGAAAAAGTCCTTCAGGCGCTTGGCCACCTCCATGTACGACGCCGGGTCGTGACACTTTATGTGCGCCGTGGCGATGATGCGGCTGCCGGCCAGCTGCCAGATGTGGAGCTCATGGACGGCCAGCACACCATCGAGCTGCTGGAGCCGTTCGCTCAGCTGGTGCATGTCGATCTGCTTGGGCACCGTCTGCAGCAGGATGAGGGCCGACTCCTTCAGCAGTGGGTACGTGGTATACAGCAGGATGCCCACCATGATGATGCAGAGCGTTGGGTCCAGATAGAGAACCCAACACGGCCCCGCCGAGGCCACGGTGCCTGTCGAGTTGCCCGACAGGTCCACCAGCGTGTGGTTGATGTGCTGATGGTCTGTGCAGTGGCTGCTGGTGCAGGGGTTGATGCACGGCTCCCCCTTGGGACAGGGCTTCCACACGAAGGTGAAGATGAGCGCGTTGACCACCACGATGACGGAGCCCAGAGCGTCGCCCAACACATGCAGGAAGACGCCGCGCATGTTCAGCTGCGATGCCGAGTCTTGGCTTTGCTCCAGCTCGTCATAGGGGGTCCCGCCATTTATCTGCACGTCTGGGCTATCTGCTCGGTGCACTTCTGAGGAGGACAGAGATGGGAGTCAGTGCTGGGGGGGGGGGGGGACACACACTAGCCTAGCCTTGGTCAGGACTGTGACGCGGATAAGGATGGGTTAAGCTACACTGGGACAAGACAAGAAAAATTAATAAACCGTTTCCCAGTGTTTAAAGTTTAAAGGCAAGACAGTTATACAGTTATGACTGTGGGACCCCGTGAATATCCAGAATGTCCCACTGGGATCAATAAAGTCCATCTTAATCTTAATATACAAGCCCAAGCAGTGGCGTTTTATTAAGAGTCTCTGCAGAATAGTATAGTATCATACTACAGTACGACAGACATTCAGAAAGTAAAATGTCAGCCTTTATTCAAAAATACCATGTGATGATATATATCACATCTGTCTATGATTCATAATATCAAACCTTCACATGCAGGACAGGACAGTCTAGGGGCTGGAGGCAGGGCACAATCCTGCAAACGGACCTTTTCTTGTCTATTTGGTTAGAATTAAACTAAATAAAAGAAAGATAAAAAGACAGAATCTGCCTCAAAAGAAAATCAGACCAATGGAAGACAGACTGGGAAAGAACGGGGAAATCAGAAGCAGACCAGGGGCAGAGACTCACAAACACACCGGGTCCTACAGAAGGAAGCACTGAAGAGCTTCAGAGTCGCAGACCGGGGACCAATTCGAGGCTGCAGCCATGACAGGGGGAACTTGCAGTGACCATCCAGACACTAGACCTCCTCCAAACTGGCTTACTCATGCATGCCCTCTTCCTTTTTTGGGGGAACCTGACACCCCATTTACTGAGGTTCTGGCCGAAACACACAAGACCTCATGTAACAGAGGGGTTTCCATGGATACAGAGGGATCAGTGCTAAGGATCAGTGCTTAATGAAGAGCTAGTGAGAAAAGCTGATCACACCATACGGACATGTTAGGATGCTAAAGACAGCAGCACAGAGGTGATGCTCAGGACAGCACACACACATATTTGGGGACTCTGAGTGACAGCAAAGTGACACCCCTAGTCAAACAACATTGGAGTCTCTTGCTTGGGAGATGGGAGAACAGAATACCGATAAGAGCATTGTAATGGTCGCTGAAAGTCAGTCCAAAAACCAGGTAACCGCTTCATGGGTAAACGGCCTACTTAGAAGCAACTATGCAGAGATAAGAGCAGCTTATCAATGGGAGGAAAGATCTAGAGCATTCATTCTAACCAGAGGACTCACAAAAGACCCAGAGCCCGCCTCCATTAAGACTCCCTGAGACCCTAACCCCAGCTCGCTTGACTCATAGCCAGGGGGTGGCCTCTGATGCCGGCTGCATCACCCACCCTGCAGGGGTAACTTCCTCCAAAATCACACAAGTCTGAACAGGAATCTCAACTGCAGCCACCTCCACCCGTATGTAACGGGTACTGCATGGATCAGACCAGGAAACTCTCAGACTTACACATTATTGCACACGGTGACTAACCGCGAAAAAAATCTCATTAAAATAAAATGGCATCACCAATAGGTGAGACCGGACCGGCAGCCGGTATGGGGCGGCGTACAGTAGACCCGGACTCATTCGACTCCCCAGCTGACCGCCGGACCTCCCGTGGTGGGAGATGCCTATGAATAACCGCGGTGGACCGAACCGGACCTCTAGTGGCCCATTTATTCAGCAAGCCGGGGCTTGACACGTTGGAAGGGGGCGAAGAACGAACCGGACCGAGACTCACCGGCTCTGTCGGCGTTGACCCCGTTCGGGCTGCCGCAGGTCCCAACGAGATTGGTCTCCTCGCCCGACGCCCCGCCGGGCCGGTCCGCCTTGCAGCCTTTGGCCCTCTTGCCTTTCCTGCCGCCGTGGGAGTGCCCCCCGTGCGAGTGGCCGTGCCCGCCACCCCCCGAGTGGCCGTGGAACATACAGAGCCCGAGCAAGTTAACCAGGAGGCCGGCGGCGCCCACACCGATGACGATCTGCGGGGACTCGATCTCATGCGGCTCAGTAAAGCGCTCCACGGCCTCCAGGATGATGGTGAAGCAGAGCGCCGTGAGGAAGACGGCGTTGACCAGCGCGCCCATCACCTCGGCGCGGATCCAGCCGAACGTGTTCTTGCTGGTGGCCTGCGTCCGGCTGGCGAAGCGCACGGCCACCAGCGCCACCAGCAGCGCGATCACGTCCGACAGCATGTGGAAGGAGTCGGAAAGCATGGCCAGCGACGACGTGAGCCGGCTCACCACCACCTCGGCCACGAAGAAGCCGGCGGTCAGCCCCAGCATGCACATCAGTCGGACGCGGTTCGGCTCGCAGTCCATCTTCACCAGCCTGTTCTCCGAATAGAGCCGAAAGACGCCGGGAGACGTGGGTTCGTACAGTAGGGATACGGCTACACAAGCTTCCCGTCGACGGTTCGTCGCTCCTCGACCTGAGTCTCTCAATACACGCTGCTTGATCCCCAAAACCGGCTCCGCGATCCTTCGATCTCAGCACTCAAGCTTCCTTTGTTAACACACTGTCATCATTTCACTCCTTTGCAAGGGGCAGTGCGTCTCTAGTAAAATACGGGGTCGTGGTGCGGAAGCTGGGGCGCCGGGCGAAAGCGGGGGCACGGCCAGACGCTACGGCCGTTCGCTGCTTTGCAGACGGGTTCAAACTTTGCACCCGGACCGCCGGCAAAGTTTTCACACGGAACAGGGGGACTCGCGACGGCCACGCCCCCGGCACTCCACGATTGGCGGCTAGCGGCCTGCACCATTTAGCTGGGTTGTAGGGGGAGAGCACAGTTTCCAAGAAGCGGTGTGATTAGCAAGGAGAGCTGCTTCCATACACGGGTGGTCCATACACGCTGTTGCTGAATTTTCGTGACGCATAACGTTACACGTCCCTGGATCAGATTGGTAAGTCGGACCATCAATCACAGCAATTACCCCGCCTACTCCCCCTGTTTCTCGGTGCAAAATGCCAAGGCAACGCGGTGGATGCGTGTGTAGATCAGTGGAAATTAAATAACAGTAATTGTAAATGCATCTTAAGTTTATGATATACCTTCATGAATCAGAATTAGGTTGGGTTAATCATAGAAACTGTATGCCGAGGTAAGATGAACAAAGGCAATAGACTGTGAACCGTTGACTGGTATTAAGGAAGAACAAAACACACACACACACACACACTATATTTTAAGTGCTGGTGTTTAACACAACATCCGGTATCAGTACCAGGCAACATTCATAATGCCCGACGATTTAAAACAAGGCTACGTCGTTACTTTTCAAAATATGGTTTTTGCTATTGGAAGTTAATAGAAATGTAACAAGCAGTCTTTATGTTTTTATAGTACAGTATATAACGTTACATTTAAGTTAGTGCTTAAGAGTGGTCTGGAGCTGATATGGGACGGAATTTTGGAAAATTCCACTGAGGCCCGGCTGAAATCTGAGAGCTGAGCACGTCCCTAAGCGGGATGTGGGGCGCGGTGTGCAGACAGTCTGGGCCCCAGCAGGCTTTTCACTCGGCCCCGAACCGTGTGGAAAGTCTTGGTCAGCTTCTGCTTCGGGAAAAATCATTGTGTAAAAACCCACAAATTCTCCACTTTCGCTATAACAATTATTATTATTGATTGGTCGAATAAATTTGAACTCACAATTAAGCTGCTACAAAGTCTTAAGAATACATAAATAAATTGAAATTATTTTAGTGTCACCCTAAGCATATCGTGTAGTTCAGGGGTCTCCAACTAGCTTCTGATGAGCCACAATTGTTCATTGTATTTACCTGAGAACAGTTGTGGCTCATCCGAAGCCAGGTGGGATAGAAAACCTACTGGACAGCAGCTCTCCAGGACCGTAGCTGGAGAGCCCTGGTGTGGTTCATACACTGAATGAAGCTTATATTCTTCTCTCATCAACACGACCGCTTATATTCTCCTGATCTGATCTTTAAACGAGTGGTAAGTTCTAATTACGTGTGTAATGAAATTCAAATGTATTATAAAAATATGGAAGAGCATAAACGGGTTACCATCCTGATCAGTGTTTAACAGATTGGGCTGTTTATAGGGGCAGTTTGGTACCCCCTCGTGGACATCTGTACGTTATGCTCCGCATAGACAAGCGTGAGAAAACGATTTTGAAAATAGCACAAAAGGCAGACGGAGGACTACCGGTACATCGGTGTTGGTGCTCAGTGATTCAGGCCGTATTTTAATTTGAGATTTTTGTAAAATAAACCTGTGAAATTAAAGGCTGGTTTCATTACTCAGTCATAAAATCCTCTAAAACTTCTATTTGAAGTATCATTGAATCAGGAGCCACCGCCCCCCCTCTCGTGCAATAGTCTGATAATAAACTGATTTCCCCTCCATTGTTGGGTTAAGTCACTGGGGACAATGTGTACAGCCCAATATTTAATTTGCCTTCATTCATCCCCCCAATAAACAGACCTCTGCATTTAAATCTCTGCATCTTCCGTACCTAGATGCAATTCTGGGCCCCCAGCCAAAATGTCACCTTGCCCTCCTGCCCAGTCTTGTGTATTTGAGGTCAAATGCTGGGCCCCCAGATTGTGCCAGGGTAACCACATGCCCGCCGATGCCCCTGTCCACCCAAAAGCATGCAGACAGACATCTCAAAACATCAGTGTGTGACTAAGATTACCCTAAGGCCAATTAGCATATCAAAAGAAAAAAAAAATTGTAATTTATCGATTATATTTATGCTTAGTAAATGACACTAAATTTGACACCACTTCAGATATTCTAAAACTCAAAGCTTCATTTAATCATATAAATCAATTTGTTGGTACAGCTCCAATAGCTATCAATAAACAAATAAAGGAAACTATGACAGAATGTAACAAACATATAAAATGCCTATATACGGACTATTCTATAAAATTAAAAACACCCAGACACATGTAAAGAATCTAGTGAATATCTACATATGCAGTGTCAAATCAGAATGAAATATAGGGGTTTTCATAGCTGCCAGTAACGATCCACCCGCAACAGCAACACTGCACCTTGACACTTCCCACTTCGGATTCAAAAATAATTTCTAACATGCTGTGTATGCAGAAGAGGACTCTGTTGTCTGTGTTTAGGATCATTATCATGTAAATTGCCTGGATTATTTCTGGAAAGTTTTTGTTTTTTTTAAATCAAAACTTCAGTGGAATCTGTATATTGACCATATTACTGTCAAATACGGTTTTTCAACCAATCACATTCAGCCCCCTTTGCAACACACCAGGAAAATAAACACACACTCAACACTGCATGACAGACAAAGACCAGCAGTTCACAGAAAGCATTGTTTGTGCCGATTTTGGCCACACACACACACTTTTATATGTTACAATGAGGTGTATGGCGCCACCCAGTGGTCATCGGATGCCCAGCAGCTGCCTGCTCTTCAGATGGTACTGTCTCTCCACCTCACACAGGACCTGCGCCCGCAGCCCAGCTGCCTGCAACCGCTGCTTCAACTCTCGGCCTTCGTTTTTCAGTGGTCTCCTGTTCTCCTTGCTGTCCCCAGCAAAGTGGACCTTTTTCTTCCCTGGGAAGAGTCCCTCCTCGTCATCTGCAACCAACACAAGGTGGATGGGTCACCTCAGCAGGGGTTGGGAGGTGGATCTTTCACCCTCACAAGCTTTGTGGACCATTTATGGAGCAGATCAAACTATAGGACCCTGCCTGGCTTAAAACCTACATGACACTTCTGCCCTACAGATTAGGGTGGGGGATGCATGCCCCCCCCAACAACAACAGTCTGTCATACAACAGTCACAATGAGTCTTTGTAGGTCCAAATGTCCAAATTCAAGTTTATGTAGTTTGGTTTAATTTAATAAGTAAAAACAAAATGCACAGTACTCTATGAAATTAAATCACTCAATCACTCATTACAGGATCACAGCGATGTGTTTCCATCTCAATAAATAAAATTCACATTTTATTTTACAGAACAGATCAGAGTTCATAAAAAAGCATAAGAATTAAGAGCGAAGTCTAGTTTCCGACGCGCAGTGGATCCAGTGGTGGAGGATCGGGCCCCGTACCTGTCCCACTGGAACACGGAGCCGGGGGTGTCCTCCGCCCCTGTCTAGCCAGGGTCAGCTTCCGCATCAGAGTCTCAGCCCTTTTGGGGAGGGGATGGGATGGGATGGGGGGGGGGGTAAAGATTTAGCCGCCACGCTTGCAGGTAAGATGACCTGAGTCAGTGGGAGGGGGCTGGAGGGCTCGGGTTGCGTGACTCAGCAGTAACGCCACAGATCAACAGCCCAGCTGCAGCACAAACTCTCTGCAGGGGAAAATAATCTGACAACTGATGTGGGGCTGAAGCATACTGTGGGGGGGGGGGGCAAAAATGAATCATTAATAGATCTCTACCTTTTAAGATTCTCCTCTGATATTCTCTCCCGAATGCAAAGCTCCTGTTCTCTTCCTTTAGAAAACATAGTTAGTTCTCATCATAACAGCATCATAATGTCACCACCTCAGTAAGCGTGAACAAACACAGCAAATAAACATGCACAATGACAAAACAGACAGACACCTCATGTAGTGCCAGTTGAAGCCCCCCCCCCCCAGCTGGCCCACTCACGCTCCAGCCGCTCCTCACGCTCCTTCAGGGCACGCTCCCTCTCCTGCAACTGCTGCTCCTTCAGCCGTAGCTCGGCCAGCCATGGCTCCTGGGCCTTGGCTCGGGTGCCGTCGCCTGACCTACGTCTCTCCCTGTCCTGCTCCCTCCTGCTTTCCTCCGCCACCACGTCCGTGATCAGCTCACTCTGGAGGATGCACTCCACGGACGGTCTCAGGTAGTCCTAGCCGGGGAACCGAGCCAAAGGCCGGCAAGCATGACCAACTGGAGACGTAGCCAGTGTACCCACACGCATACCAGTGACGGAGATAAGCCAGGTGGTTCGCAAGATATCTGGAGCTCTACCTGAATCATACACCAGGTAAGAGTATGATTAAATGAACAGCATCACCTAAGTTTTCTTATATGCGAGTTTGTGCTCTGTCCTGTAAATAAAGGCTGGTTTGTAATTTCTGAGGCGCTGCTTAAATTAAAATAATAATAAAAAAAAAAAAACCCACCACAGACAAACACACCTGAAGTTTCAAAAACTAAATAGCTAGTGAGCAGAATCAGAAGATCATAGTTTGCCATCTGGTTAGGAGAACATGCAGCTTCAGCGACTCCTACAGAAGGAAAACGTCTAATATTTAGTGCAATAACTATTTGTTGCCCTACACGTGTGTTTTAAGTCTTGGTAAAGACTGCTGCTCTCTGCACAGCCCACCAAACGAATAAATGCCTCCATTTGTGTCGCCGTCTCCCCCAAGCTGCTCGTCGAACCTTTAAATGCAGCATCCTGGACAGCAGGCTGTTGAGCTCCTCCGAGTACCGATAGGGAATCCTCCGAAACTTGCCCTCTCGGATCTTCTCCGCCAGCTCTGCCTGGTTGTGTGCCGTGAACGGCGGCCTGCGCAGAGAGGGGGCATCACCACCTGGCCCTGCGTGCCACAGGTTGGGCACCGGGGGTTGCGCCCTCTGCTGGATACTTACGACAGGGCGCACAGCTCGTACAGCAAGCAGCCCAGGGACCATATGTCGGACTTCTCATTATAGGACAGCCGATTCATTTGTTCCTGCGGTACAGCACGGTAAACCATGTGGTCAGCAAAGCAGTTTTTAAAGTTTCAGATAAATGCAGTTTCATTTCATTAAATGCATGTATGTTTTGAAATGAATATTTGGCTTGACAAGGAACAATTCTGGTGTGATGCAGGGCCCATCCTTCCACAAAAAAAAAGGGCAGGAGAGCAGACCCTACCGGGGACATGTAGTAGGGAGTTCCCACAAAGGTCCTGGCGAAGCTTGTGTCATGGTTCAGGATCCTGGCCAGGCCGAAGTCCCCGAGCTTCACGTTCTGCTGCGCGTCTAGGAATATGTTGGCGGGTTTGAGGTCACGGTGCAGCACTGTCTGTGCCCCGTTACGCCTCCGGTGGCACTCTTTCAGTGCCAGGGCGAGCTGTGCCAACACACGCAGGATAAACTCCTCATCCAGGTATCGCCTGACACGGAAACACGAAGCGTTTAGCCACTCGGGTCCATTTACTCTTTGGGTTACTTGGGTTAAACTACAGCCTCCTGGGACTCAAACCAGCAACCTCAAGATCAGAAGCCTGTGTCTTTAACCACTGCAATACTAGCTGAAACCAAATGCTAATTTTTTGCCCAAGTTCAAGCACAGTGTTGGGAATGTTGCTCACAAAAGTAATCAATTACAGATAGAAGTGCAAAGTTCAGGCCCAGAAGGTACAAATCAAGACCAAGGTTTTGTTTCAACCAACCAGTTGAGTATAAAGAGTCACAGAGTACTCAACTGCTTGGTTGAAACAAAACCTTGGTCTGGATTTGTACCTTCTGGGCCTGAACTTTCCACTTCTGTCTGTAACTGATTACTTTTGTGAGCAACATTCCCAACACTGTTCAATCACACTATCAGGTAGTATGCGCTCTTCACATTAACAGTTTCCATGACGGAGAACCCTCTACAGGCCGCCCACACACCCACCTTTCCTTGAGGCACCTGGAGATGAGCCCAGAGAGGTCGCCGCCCTCGCAGTACTCCATGACGATGTACAGCGTGGTGTTGGTGCGGTCGATTATGCGGTCGTGGTACCGCACAATGTTGGGGTGCCTCAGCTCCCGCAGCAGGTTCACCTCAGACACCAGCATCTGCTTCTCCGCCTCTGCCATGGTGCCGTAGTCCAGCTCCTTCCACACCAGCATCTGGCAGAGCCAAGTGTGTGCGACATTAGGTGGTCATCTACCAGACCACAGCTGGTGGGGACTAACAGCACCACAGACTGGGTCTAAGGTGTACCACAGTGAGGCTCAGGACTCACACGCAATAGGATCCATGGATGCAGATATAATTCATTCTGCCATTTGCACCTCTTAATTTTGCAGGTGTTTCTACAATCTACATTAATCATCTTTGTGCATAATGTATATTCTGTTCTGCTGGCTGGAGTGCTGCCAAACAACATTTCATTGTTCTGTGCATAGACAATAAAAACCTTTATCATAAATCCCAACCAAACATTCTATATGCAGTTTCACAATTAAACCACCTGACTCAGCCCAACCAGAGGCCAAGTTAAAGGCTCTAGTATCTCAAGATCAAAGGCCTGCATTACGAAGGAGGATTTCTTGCCTAGTCGGATAACTTGTCAGATGTATGGTACCAAAGTTTAAATGGACTTTAAACGTTCGCATTTAACTCAGAAAACCTTAAACACGGGCAAGCAAGAAATCCAGCTTCGTAATATAGGCCCCAGGTGAGTAAATTTGTAAGACGTCCGCGCATCAAAAAGTTCGGGTATCACGTTTTTATTACAACAAACTAGCTGCAATAGGTCGACATCGGTGACTGTTACTTCAAACCATGACCGATCTTTGGGCAAAACTTAACGGATTTTATCCTGAATTTCAAATGGACACAAAGGGAGAGTTTACTGGGCTCCTGACCCCGTTAAGCCATTTTAATATACGATGTTTATTCTCAGGGCACAGAAGAAAAAGAAAATTATGCAGGCAAATGCGATTCTGGGACATGACACTTAACGGGATGGAATGTCGTGGTACCATTAAGAGCATAACTGGTTAGTCATTGTTAACAAGCTTAATTAATACTGGTCAATCAGTCAGCCAGCGCAGGTAAAGGATGCCCAGCTCTAGTCTAGCCCTCACCTTTCCGTCAGATTTCCTCCGTATTTTCTGACATTTCCCGTAGGAGCCAGAGCCGATCGTGTACAAAACCTCGTAATCCTCTACACGAGACGGCATTTCGGGTCGGGCCTGGCCGGTATCGGAACCAAGCAGCGCTCGTGTCAGTAACTAAACTCCAGATCAGCGCGTCTGCTTGGTTAAATAAAACGGCGTGTGGATCACCCCGGAACTAGGGACGCCGAAGATTTAAACTGGTGCCTTAAAAACACTGTCTGATTGGATGCCCGAGTACGATCCGAGCGTTGTCATTGGTCCAGGATGAATGCAAACTATAAGTTGCCAAGCGCTCTACCCGCGTGAGAAAGGCGCGTAATTAAAGGGGAAACGGGCTCTCTCTTAAAGGGCTTCCAAATGATTTCTGTCGACAATTTTCTAAGTCCAGCAGAAACTAATCACCTTCCAGGGACCTTGATGTTCGTCTGCAGCCGTCTGTAAAAGCAACATTACTAGATGTCCGAATGTGCTTTGTTTGTAATTTGTTTGGTATCACTATGCTTTATGCATGTCTTGTGACAAAAAAACTGAATAGTTCAATAGTAACGCAAGAATAGTTAACGTACACATTACACGTGGAAAATCGTAATACCTGATAATTTCACATAACTAAATGCTTAAGTCAATTCCTTATCCACTTTATAATGTACGCAGATTTTACATATAATTGATGCTGTCGTGCAAATTCTGTGCCATTAAAACCTTAAAAGTTAACATTTTTAATTAAAACTGATACGTAATATTATACTGGATTTTACAGCGACATTTTAGAAGTAGCAGTTGAAGTCCATGTGGCGCCCTAGGCAAGCATTTCCCCCCAAATTTCACCTTGTACGGGGTGTAAACGCCCTCTCGGAAGATGATGTCCTGGGGAATTGCCCGTCTTGTCCTTGCCACAGCCACTGTATTTGGTTTTCGTATCGTATAAAAAATACAACTCCCATTAATGTTTTTAAACCTCACCACGAGATGGCAGTAAAAGCGTTTTATAAAGGGACATTCTGTTGCGCTCCGTGTCATCGGATCTTCTGGTGTCATTCCCGTTTTTTCAGTTAAGGTGACTTCGTCCTCAACTCCCGCATCTTAACTCTTACACTGTGCAGGTAAACAGTGTGTAAAAATAGCCCATCTCCATTTATGTTCAGTGTTATGCTAGTCTGAAACCTAAATCTCCAGGGCACGTCTTCACACCTTACACGTAGGAATTAAACACAATTTAACCAATACATAACATTTGTTTTAAAACATATGTAGCTTACCTTGAGATTAAAATCTGGAACACGAACAATAGAACCCACTGACTTGAAACTCATAAGTGTTAATTCAGTAAAGTCTGTTTAATGTAACACAGAGCCCGTTATGGATCTGGTGCTGTCATTGTAATAATTCTCTGAGCTGGTGCATAAATCACATGATCAGTCTGCCTGTTATGACGTAATGAGCATGCTACCTGCTTCATCCACCCTGACAGAACCTGATACAGGGGGCACCTGCTAGGTGAAGGTCAGGTGGATGGGGTCTATGCGTGAGCTCAGGGCACTGGAGCTTGCGTCATGCATGAATCACGCAGGTCTCCTGGTGCTGGATTCAATGAGCTGGAGCAGCAGGACAGAGTGCCCCACAGTACTCCGGGGGTTTATCCCGGGTGTCGGACGGACAACAGGCCTGGAGACCACGGTGACGCACCAAGCGTGACAGGTATGCTGGGAGGACAGCTATGGGGCTGGAGCAGATGGTATCTACACATCACAGCAGCCATGCCCCAGCACGGGGCTGTTTGGATCAGAAACAGGTGTAGAGTGGCGTCCAGCTTTCAAAATGCCTCACTGGTTAATTGGCATCTACAGGAAAGAATCACACATATCTAAATGCAAATTATAAAACAACGGGTTTTTCTTATTGGACTGTATTAACATTTTCAGATTACCGTTCAGCTTTCCCCATTTACAGTCTGTGTGGCATTTCTGGTGGATTGAAACTTACCCGTGGAAAAAATGGACAAGAATGATCCTCACATTCTGATTGGAGACATCGTTGTAGCTGAGGATGGCTCATCTGAACAAACAGTGGTTTTTTAATTAGCAGCGGAATTAAATCGCTTTGAGCACACTGCAGCCTCCTAGCATGTGTGAGATGAGCGTTCAGCTGTGGCTATTTCTGTCGCCCGGGCAGGTTGGCGTGGCCTTCACACACAGCGGGATGTTTCGGGGCCCGGCGGTTCAAAGGGGGCCCACCGCTGATCTCCAGCTCCAGCCCAAAGGAGTGTCGTGACTCTCTCCAGTGACACTTGCACCTGGCTTCCCCACTGAGGTCACTGTGAGGTTCCCTGCATGTGTTACGTCACTAATGAAGCGCCTGCTTAATGGGTCCTGGGTCTCCTGCCACATTCGTCTCTGTTTGGGAGGGGTCGTTTTTGACATGCATGTAGGGAGAACATGAATGGAGTAGGGAACCCCCCCCCCCCCCCCGGCCTACCAGTAAACATCAGCAGGCACCACTTAGTGTCTCCAAAACTAATGGCCACTCAGAATCACTAAGCAACTAATCGCACTGTTCTTGAGTGCCTCTTATTTCCTTTGACCAACATGGAAAGACTATTTCATTCTGATGAAAGCAAACGTGTTGTGAGGGCTTGGATCTCCTCAGCAAAGTAAACAGATGATAGTGTCACAAAGCACAGTAAGTTGGATTCAATCAAGGAAATCCAAATGAAGGCAATGGAACGAGACAACTCCGGTATCATGTAAGAATTTTTATTGTATTGGCATTTTGTGAAACTGTTTGCTTACACTTCTGATAGTCACAATTAATACATTTTTAAAATTGTTGACTAATGAGTCTCCTCTTCGATTCAAAATTCAGACGTTTTCTCTTCCTTCAAAAAAGGAAAGACTAACGCGACAAACACATACAGTGACGCCACAGAAATAAACTGCATCAGAGATTTGTGGACATTTTTCCCCAGAATGTTTTTCCCAGAGGCTTGATCACGTGATCACAGTGGTTAAGGCTACTGTAACGCAGTATCCTTAGTCAAGGATATCGTCTTCAATCACCTTTCCGGTAGTAAAACCAACGTTCACAACTTGGACAGCTTTAAAGCTAAAAAGCACGAAACCCTGCAGTTTCCGCATTAGTGCATTACACTGAAACAGTACGACAGGAATTAAGAGACTTGGAGCAACTCAGAGTCACAATTAACTGCCGTCATAAGACACTGTGCCTCAGCAGTCCTCGAATGCAGAGAGCCCCTCACACCTGCGTCTGTATCAAAGCTCATTACCCTACACTCCTGCGTCAGACTTGGGTCTCATTCAACAAAACTTAATACACTACAGCCTCGAAACCATGATCACAACAGAAAATGTGACTTTTGATTCAAATTACAGCCTAGATATTACCACGTAATCACAAATCTTGACTTGCTCTACTGCTCTACTTTAGGATGACTAGATCATTAGTCTTAGCTAAACTTCACTTACGTTACAACAAGCACACCTATTGCTCTGTAGCCTCTATTTAGAGCCGATCACAACTGTAAGCACATAGTCAAGCGGGCCAGAAATCCCCCCTCCCAAGAGGTCCGATGAGTTTTCATACTAAAATTTATTTGTCGATCTCAACCAGATACCTTTCAGGGCCTGTTCATATTGTTCTTTATGATTAATATTAGATGACCTTCTCTGTTCAGAAATGCATCCCTTTCACAAGATCAATGGGATAAAAAAGGAATGTAAGAACCTGGAGAATGGACAGAGCAACACAAAACAGCACTTATGGGCAGGAGGCCAACCTTAAGCATGGATTTAGTTGATTCCAGTGGCAGTGTTTGAAGAAGGCCAAAGAACATCCACACGTTAAAAGGAAGGGGAATTCAATGAAGAATTTGCCGTTTCGGTGTAGAAATAGACACTTTGGCTCACACTGATAAACCAGGTACAAGACAATTCTGATGCTGGCCGTTTGGTCTTCTCAAGCAAACTAAACATTACGATGACCAGCATACTTTAAATTCCTCACTGTTCCAGTTATCTTAGCTCTTGACAGTCAGCGATGATCTTGTATTCACTGCATGTCAGAGGTCAAGCTGCAGCTGTTGGTCTCATGGGGACATTAAGCAGGCTTTGGGAGCATTCGCAGTGCCTCTTACTGAGAACAGGGGAGCCACCTCCATCCCCAACAGCACATTAAATCCACTGCATCCGCAAAACAGATTAACATTATTTCATCGTCAAGGGACACATACCATTAGAGCGCCTAGGACTGAACACTGTTAAAATACCCAGAAGCACTGGTGCCTGCTTTCTTAAAAGCAGTTACAGGCTTATAGGATACAGTGCATTTTGCCTTTCAGCCAAGCCTGGGGGGGGGGGAGGAGGGGGCGGTTAAAAGAGTTAAATTACATTTTTAATTATTGACTTTCTGAATTAGTGTCCAACACAGAACATTCATATTGCCCAGAGACAGAGTGGAAAAGCAAGAGAGGGCAGAATCTGGTAGATGGAAACACTAGCCTGAGATGGGAGAGACACACCTCTAATTTGGACCACCAAGCTTTCTGAACCCATCAGGTATGCTGATAAGCTAGCAGTTTAGAAGACATGACTTCTATTTAAATTGCTGAAGCAATTGGTAAATGACAGGATTCCTATTTCCGGTAAACTGCATTTTAAACTATCAGTCTATATGACTGTATTTACCAACAATCAATGACTAACATGACATTGTGGGACATGAACAGAAAAATTCTATTTTCACAGCTAGTGTTTTGTTCCAATCAGCATGTATAAGCTACAGGTATTTCATATGTATCACATGAACACCCACAGTTCTGCACCTGGTGAAAGCACCACACGTCTCATTCCCGCTGGGGCTGCAAACGGCCGGCCCACTGCCCCTCAGGCTGCGGATGTGCTGCTCCAGCCCGAAACTGCAACAGTGCAACATCTGACACATACGGCTGATTTTGTTTTTCCCCCTGACTAAAGAGTAATAACATTTCCATGTAGTGAAAATGCACTGTGCGTATGTCCATCGTGTGTTTGGCAGGGAGATGAAGGAAACAAGAATCCCAGAACAGCAACAGGTCTTCAACTAAACTGTCCATGGTATTTCAATCTAAAACAGGTGAGCAACACTGGACTTAAAAAGACAGGGTTCTAGTCACAACATTAGCTGTTCCCCTGCATATTTATGTACAAGACTGGACAAAGCATGACTCGGGGATAATTTCAAGTAATTTAAAACAAAGATGCCAGGAGCTGTCAAACACGCTTGCTGTTGCTCCAATTTTACCCAGAGTGACCCCAGCAGTGACAAGAAGGGGAGGAAAAACAGACCAAAGAAAGAGGAAATAAAAAGACGTCTCTCCCACACACACACACACCCACATGGGCAGGTTACGCTGCACATTTACAGTAACACCTAAAATTGTCTGCTATTTTCCAAAAATGAACACACCATTTTGGTAAAGAGTCCTTAAAATAAAGATTATCACTCCCAGACCTTTAAAATAAAGTTTTTCCCCATCTAAGCATATGGCTTAAATATTTTGCAGACAGCTCGGTGATCCCGGGGCATTGGCCGTGTGCACCCAGGCAGTTCCGTCAGTGTCCGCCAGCCTCCCGGTCAGAGCCCCGCCCGACCGGAGCCCCGCCCACCCGGAGCCCCGCCCACACGCCATCGGTCCGCCGTCATCAGCATGTGGGCCTTGCTCTGGCACACGAAGCAGCCGCTTCCATCTCCGTCCAGTCAGAATGGCAGTACCAGGCCGATATCCCAACTGCCCCACCAAGATGACCAGTGTAAACAAGGAAACAGGGACCCAAACCTGGGATACCGTCAATCAGAACGGAACCAAAATTTTCAGGAAACAGAAACGGCTTGAAGAGGAGTGGGACAGGGGAAAAGAAAAAGATCTGGGAAATCCGGAGATCTGAGGAATCCCTGGGTTGGGGGGGGGGGGGGGGGCAGTACGGATCCATAGTGCAATCGAGGAGATGAGGCCAGGAAGAGGATCGCAGTGTTGCAGGCAGACCTCGTACACGGCAGCAGGGCCTGGAAAGTTCCAGCTCTTCTGGCTAAATGCGCCTTTGAGCTTTGTGTCAGAAGGGGCAAACACAGGTGTGTCCCAGAGATGGAAATGCTGCCCCCGCTGGGTTGAGAAGAGCGCGTACAGCTGGAAGGTCCCTCCCCTTCCAGGAGTTTGGTGACGGCCATGTCCTTCTCCTCATGAGTCCTGAGCCTATGATTATTTAGTTCGCGTTTGTGGTCACAGTTCTGCATTTTTCTGTGTGTGTGTGTATGTGTGTGTGTGTGTGTGTGTGTGTGTGTGTG